TGAATGAATGAATGAATGAATGAATGAATGAATGAATGAATGAATGAATGAATGAATGAATGAATGAATGAATGAATGAATGAATGAATGAATGAATGAATGAATGAATGAATGAATGAATGAATGAATGAATGAATGAATGAATGAATGAATGAATGAATGAATGAATGAATGAATGAATGAATGAATGAATGAATGAATGAATGAATGAATGAATGAATAGATGAACGAATGAATGAAGAAATAGATGAACACATGCACAAATGGAGAGGTTGCAAAGATCCAGCTCCTGATAGAATAAAATTTGTCTCAGACTCAGCAACTTACTAGATTGAGAGACAAAGCAGCTAACCCAAGGCCCTTAATGAATAGGAGCCTGCTCTTTCTGCTCATCTGAATCTGCCTCTAGGCAGAGAATTCAATTTAATTTTTCTCCCATCAGTCAAACTGAAGAGCTGAAAAAGCAAAACCAGAGACAGGGGAGGCAGGAGGTGGAACAGGCTTGGATGAGGAGATCAGCAGCTGATCTCTTGTTCTTTCTCTGTCAGGAAGAGCCCAAGATGAGAGGAGTGCTAGCAGGATCTGGGGCAGGGGGCAGCCTGCCACTACCAGAATCCTCTTGAGGGAGGGACTGACTATTTTACTGGAACATTGAGACTCCCACATGGTCAGTGTGACTCTCATGGTTTACCCATGTCCTGTATAAGTACTTCTCAGTGGGATGCTCTGGTCCTAACCAACCTGTTCTTCCTGCTAAACCACCCCAATGTAAATACACATATAGATAGATATAGACACATCCACAAATAGATGGATAGACAGTTGGATAGAAAGAGAGATAGATTAACAGACTGGCAGACAGACAACCTCTTCCTCCTTTTGGCCAGTAACACTCATCTCTAACCTCCTTCCTCTGAAAACCTTCCCCACAAGCCAAGCCCCATACCTTAGGCATATTGATACCCTTGTTCTCATTGTCTCTTCTACCCAGTACAATCTCTATTCACCCTTTCTCGTTTCTACACCACTTGTCTCCAAAGGCCTTGCACAGAAAATATTTCTTTTGGAAGCCTCATGGTTACATTTCTACCTCTGTTAATCTTGCCCATTTCTTAATTTCTAGATCTTTAGCCTTAGCCCCATTTCCCTCCTTTATGTGATGTACCTGTATGTATGCTTTGCAGTTACCCAGTTACCCTTTTTGATGCTTAAAGAACTGGATATGGTTCTGTGTGCTCTGTCATATAATGGTGTAGAGCTTGTATTCATTCTTAGATTATATATAGGAACAGTAAGAGATGAAACTGAAAAAGCCCAATATTTTGCATATAATATTAGCTCAGATCCCATCTGATGAGCGTTTTCACGTAGGTGTTCCATTTTCTCTCTGAGCACAGAGCCTACCTCTTCTTTATCTTGATATTCACCAGAGTGCCTTACACATAGGAGTTGTCCAATTGAAAGAAATGTGGCTGAATTATTTTAGACATAGCTGAAGACTTCATGCAAATATATCTCCTTAACTACCTTTTTGGCTAATTTAAGTATCAAAAGGTAGTATGGCCTGACCAGCATGACTCAGTGGTTGAGCATCTCCTTTGAACTGGGAGGTCAAGGTTCGATCCCTGGTCAAGGCACATGCCGGGTTGCAGGCTTGATCCCCAGGAGGGGAAGTTTAGGAGCCGCCAGTCAATGATTCTCTCTCATCATTGTTGTTTATATCTCTCGTTCCCTCTACCTCTCTGAAATCAATAAAAATATATTTTAAAAAACACAGTAAGTATAGTAATTTCACTCTCTCACACATATACATCTGTCATTTACTGGACAGAAAGAGACTTTGTATGTAGTTCATAATGCCAATATTCAATAAATATTTGCTGAATTAAATTGAAACAGGCCAAATTTTTTTCAAGTTCCTTAAAGTTTTTTTGAAACTACCAGAAATTCATGCAAAAATAATTTTTTATGGGCTATATGATTATGGCCTCAGAACTGAACACACAGCCCAGTTACCTGGGTGTGTTGTACTTGGCAGCACATCCCCGTGGGTGAGGAGCTACTGGGGATGCAATCACAGGAATGTCCTTCGCCTAACCCCATTTCTGTAAACTCGAGGGCCACTTACTTTGGCCTTTTTCAACTTCTCTACCTAAAAATTTGTGGGGGAAGTATAAACATGGTGAAATTTTCATTATAATCTCTATACCATGTTTCCTTGGAAGGAGACATGCTCTAGGCATCCGAAAACTTAAATCCTAGTTCCTTTGACCAAAACTTAACTTCTCCAAGATTGAGTTTGCTTAACTGTGAAAGAGATTTGTGTGTTCACCTGTTAGGTGCCAGGAATTGTATAAGGTGAATAAGGCATGACCCTTGCACCTCTTTGACTCACAGTCTAGTAGGAGGAGAGGCACGCCAACCATAAATGGCTTAGCTTGAACAGCTTCCTAGAGGCAGATAGCAAAAATAGCAGTGACTGTGGAGTGAGTGGTTAACCCTGCCTGGGTTGATCAAAAATTGCTTGAGAGCAGGAGTTTAAGTTAGTAATAACTGTCCTTCCTTTCTTTCAGTGTCTTTTAAAGGCTCAAATATATGTGACAGAGCAATGTTGTTGAACTATCATTATTACTATTATTACTACTACTATTATTACTATTATTATTATTATTATTATTAGCAGATCAGATAATTCAGGCATTCAATAGAAAATAAACCCCACTCTATAAGTTTCTTAGAGGGATGTTGGCCTTTCCCTTACGCATTCATTATAAAGGGGTCAGACTCTACATCCATAAAATAAGTGACGGTAGAATCTGACTGTATTGGCCACGCAGCGGGTTGTTTTTGATTTTTCCAAAGTTCTGGTGCTCTTCTGGAATTTTTTTCTCATTCTCTGAGTTGCTTTCCACCCCTACCTGCCCGTTTTAATTATTGATTTATGCAACAGAATATAAATACAACTAAATATAGACAAATCTGAAAGATGTAACCATACGGATTAGCCTGTGATTAGTGCTCAGTGGAAACACGCGATGAGTACAGTACACTGAGAAGGAAGAAAGATGCGTGGGCCGCAGTGGTCAGAGCAGGAAGTCACACTTGTGCTGGCCCTGCACAGATGGTTAATCTTCCATTAGGCACAAGAGTGGCCTTATCTTTGCCATCTTGCAAAGACCTGGGAGTATAAATAAGCCTGGTATTGTTAGTGACATTGGGGAGTCCAGTTCACTTAGATTATATATAGGAACAGTAAGAGATGAAACTGAAAAAGCCCAATATTTTGCATATAATATTAGCTCAGATCCCATCTGATGAGCGTTTTCACGTAGGTGTTCCATTTTCTCTCTGAGCACAGAGCCTGCCTCTTCTTTATCTTGATATTCACCAGGGTGCCTTACACATAGGAGTTGTCCAATTGAAATAAATATGGATGAATTATTTTAGACATAGCTGAAGACTTTCATGGACTTTGAGGAAAAGGGAAGATATAATTTTACTAAAGGTTTTACCCCCTAAAAGAGAGAATGATGGATGGCATCAGACATGGATTTATACTCAGCTCACAAGCATCAGTCGATTGGATATATATTAAGCACCTACTTGTGCTGGGAGGCATGATGATAAGCATAGCACAGTCATATTCACATAATTTTATCTGGATAAATCAGATGACTGCCTGGGTGTGTTAGGCTCTCTGGTGTGTTGGAATGTTTTTCTCCAGGGAGAAGACCCAGGTGTTCATGTGGAAAGTGTGCCTTGATGCTCATGCTCTCCTCACTTCATTGTTTTGCAGCTCTACAGCTCCATGGACTTTGGGAGACGCTGGCAACTCATGCATGAACGCATCACCCCCAACAGGTTTTACTGGTAAGCCCCATTCGTGGACTCACCCTCTTGGGTAAAGAATTGTCAGACAGCATAGCACTCTGAACAATTCCTGGACACATTCATCATTTGAAGGCACATGTGTTCTAGCCCTTTGCTATTCAAAGTGTGTTTCATGGACCAGCAACTCAGCATCACCTGGGAAGTTGTTAGACACGCAGAATCTCAGACAACACTTACTGATCAGGAGCATATAACATCTTCCCAGGTGATTTAATGTGCACGTTAAGTTGGAGAAGCACTGGTTAGAGAGCTCCATGAGAAGGTCATGGCCAGATGCTCTTAGCTATGTACCAATCTCCCTTCTTTTTGAAAAAAAGAAAAGAAATATTTTATGTACCTATTCTAAAAGGCAGTATTTATTGAAATGTATTCTGTATATACCATGTTTCCTTGGAAGGAGACATGCTCTAGGCATCGGAAAACTTAAATCCTAGTTCCTTTGACCAAAACTTAACTTCTCCAAGATTGAGTTTGCTTAACTGTGAAAGAGATTTGTGTGTTCACCTGTTAGGTGCCAGGAATTGTATAAGGTGAATAAGGCATGACCCTTGCACCTCTTTGACTCACAGTCTAGTAGGAGGAGAGGCACGCCAACCATAAATGGCTTAGCTTGAACAGCTTCCTAGAGGCAGATAGCAAAAATAGCAGTGACTGTGGAGTGAGTGGTTAACCCTGCCTGGGTTGATCAAAAATTGCTTGAGAGCAGGAGTTTAAGTTAGTAATAACTGTCCTTCCTTTCTTTCAGTGTCTTTTAAAGGTTCAAATGTATGTGACAGAGCAATGTTGTTGAACTATCATTATTACTATTATTACTACTACTATTATTACTATTATTATTATTATTATTATTAGCAGATCAGATAATTCAGGCATTCAATAGAAAATAAACCCCAATCTATAAGTTTCTTAGAGGGATGTTGGCCTTTCCCTTATGCATTATAAAGGGATCAGACTCTACATCCATAAAATAAGTGATGGTAGAATTGACTGTATTGGCCATGCAGAGGGTTGTTTTTGATTTTTCCAAAGTTCTGGTGCTCTTCTGGAATTTTTTTCTCATTCTCTGAGTTGCTTTCCACCCCTACCTGCCCGTTTTAATTATTGATTTATGCAACAGAATATAAATACAACTAAATATAGACAAATCTGAAAGATGTAACCATACAGATTAGTCTGTGATTAGTGCTCAGTGGAAACACGCGATGAGTACAGTACACTGAGAAGGAAGAAAGATGCGTGGGCTGCAGTGGTCAGAGCAGGAAGTCACACTTGTGCTGGGCCTGCATGGATAGTTAATCTTCCATTAGGCACAAGAGTGGCCTTATCTTTGCCATCTTGCAAAGACCTGGGAGTGTAAATAAGCCTGGTATTGTTAGTGACATTGGGGAGTCCAGTTCACTTAGATTATATATAGGAATAGTAAGAGATGAAACTGAAAAAGCCCAATATTTCGCATATAATATTAGCTCAGATCCCATCTGATGAGCGTTTTCACGTAGGTGTTCCATTTTCTCTCTGAGCACAGAGCCTACCTCTTCTTTATCTTGATATTCACCAGAGTGCCTTACACATAGGAGTTGTCCAATTGAAAGAAATGTGGCTGAATTATTTTAGACATAGCTGAAGACTTCCATGGACTTGGAAGAAAAGGGAAGATATAATTTTACTAAAGGTTTTATCCCCTAAAAGAGAGAATGATGGATGGCATCAGACATGGATTTATAAGCAGCTCACAAGCATCAGTCGATTGGATATATATTAAGCACCTACTTGTGCTGGGAGGCATGATGATAAGCATAGCACAGTCATATTCACATAATTTTATCTGGATAAATCAGATGACTGCCTGGGTGTGTTAGGCTCTCTGGTGTGTTGGAATGTTTTTCTCCAGGGAGAAGACCCAGGTATTCATGTGGAAAGTGTGCCTTGATGCTCATGCTCTCCTCACTTCATTGTTTTGCAGCTCTACAGCTCCATGGACTTTGGGAGACGCTGGCAACTCATGCATGAACGCATCACCCCCAACAGGTTTTACTGGTAAGCCCCATTCGTGGACTCACCCTCTTGGGTAAAGAATTGTCAGACAGCATAGCACTCTGAACAATTCCTGGACACATTCATCATTTGAAGGCACATGTGTTCTAGCCCTTTGCTATTCAAAGTGTGTTTCATGGACCAGCAACTCAGCATCACCTGGGAAGTTGTTAGACACGCAGAATCTCAGACAACATTTACTGATCAGGAACATATAACATCTTCCCAGGTGATTTAATGTGCATGTTAAGTTGGAGAAGCACTGGTTAGAGAGCTCCCTGAGAAGAAGGTCATGGCCAGATGGTCTTAGCTATGTACCAATCTCCCTTCTTTTTGGAAAAAAAAAAGAAACATTTTATGTACCTATTCTAAAAGGCAGTATTTCTTGAAATGTATTCTGAAATAACTGTCCTTCCTTTCTTTCAGTGTCTTTTAAAGGCTCAAATATATGTGACAGAGCAATGTTGTTGAACTATCAATAACTGTCCTTCCTTTCTTTCAGTGTCTTTTAAAGGTTCAAATGTATGTGACAGAGCAATGTTGTTGAACTATCATTATTACTATTATTACTACTACTATTATTACTATTATTATTATTATTATTATTAGCAGATCAGATAATTCAGGCATTCAATAGAAAATAAACCCCACTCTATAAGTTTCTTAGAGGGATGTTGGCCTTTCCCTTATGCATTATAAAGGGATCAGACTCTACATCCATAAAATAAGTGATGGTAGAATTGACTGTATTGGCCATGCAGAGGGTTGTTTTTGATTTTTCCAAAGTTCTGGTGCTCTTCTGGAATTTTTTTCTCATTCTCTGAGTTGCTTTCCACCCCTACCTGCCCGTTTTAATTATTGATTTATGCAACAGAATATAAATACAACTAAATATAGACAAATCTGAAAGATGTAACCATACAGATTAGTCTGTGATTAGTGCTCAGTGGAAACACGCGATGAGTACAGTACACTGAGAAGGAAGAAAGATGCGTGGGCTGCAGTGGTCAGAGCAGGAAGTCACACTTGTGCTGGGCCTGCATGGATAGTTAATCTTCCATTAGGCACAAGAGTGGCCTTATCTTTGCCATCTTGCAAAGACCTGGGAGTGTAAATAAGCCTGGTATTGTTAGTGACATTGGGGAGTCCAGTTCACTTAGATTATATATAGGAATAGTAAGAGATGAAACTGAAAAAGCCCAATATTTCGCATATAATATTAGCTCAGATCCCATCTGATGAGCGTTTTCACGTAGGTGTTCCATTTTCTCTCTGAGCACAGAGCCTACCTCTTCTTTATCTTGATATTCACCAGAGTGCCTTACACATAGGAGTTGTCCAATTGAAAGAAATGTGGCTGAATTATTTTAGACATAGCTGAAGACTTCCATGGACTTTGAGGAAAAGGGAAGATATAATTTTACTAAAGGTTTTACCCCCTAAAAGAGAGAATGATGGATGGCATCAGACATGGATTTATACTCAGCTCACAAGCATCAGTCGATTGGATATATATTAAGCACCTACTTGTGCTGGGAGGCATGATGATAAGCATAGCACAGTCATATTCACATAATTTTATCTGGAAAAATCAGATGACTGCCTGGGTGTGTTAGGCTCTCTGGTGTGTTGGAATGTTTTTCTCCAGGGGGAAGACCCAGGTATTCATGTGGAAAGTGTGCCTTGATGCTCATGCTCTCCTCACTTCATTGTTTTGCAGCTCTACAGCTCCATGGACTTTGGGAGACGCTGGCAACTCATGCATGAACGCATCACCCCCAACAGGTTTTACTGGTAAGCCCCATTCGTGGACTCACCCTCTTGGGTAAAGAATTGTCAGACAGCATAGCACTCTGAACAATTCCTGGACACATTCATCATTTGAAGGCACATGTGTTCTAGCCCTTTGCTATTCAAAGTGTGTTTCATGGACCAGCAACTCAGCATCACCTGGGAAGTTGTTAGACACGCAGAATCTCAGACAACACTTACTGATCAGGAGCATATAACATCTTCCCAGGTGATTTAATGTGCACGTTAAGTTGGAGAAGCACTGGTTAGAGAGCTCCCTGAGAAGAAGGTCATGGCCAGATGGTCTTAGCTATGTACCAATCTCCCTTCTTTTTGGAAAAAAAAAAGAAACATTTTATGTACCTATTCTAAAAGGCAGTATTTCTTGAAATGTATTCTGAAGAACACTACACAAAATGCTTCTCTTTTCATCAGTCTTTCTAGGTTAGAATAACTTTAAGTACTGATGATCCAACTCTACCCTCTAAAGACTCACAATTCAGGTTTGGGTATTGGGAAGCCCCCAGTGAAGAAGCCTGCCGAACTTGAAGTTGTTTATTTCTATGCTTATTTCACTACGGAACCTTTATCTCATGTCACACCAGATAAATCCTTTAGAACAACTTCTGAGGAGCATATTTTGCAAAAAGCTTTTATAGGCGTGAATGCATGTTCCACATGGAACATGAGCCCTGCCCCTAATCAGAAAGTGTCTCTATTGATCAGTGTTGCTTTATACATCCATACTATTTTTGCCTTGGTTGTGACAAGGTAAACTTGGTTTGGTATAATTTTGCCTCTTCCTAGTCCTTGCTCTAAAGTGAAATGCTTTTTACTTGTATCTTGCTTTTATTTCAGTGGAGGTGAAAGTCAAAGAAATAGAGATTAGGAAACATGCACAGAAACATATGATATGCTTAATGATATGCTTAATATAAAAGTAAAACAAAATTCACACCATTGAAATGGTACCTACTCCATGTCTCTTTTGAATACCTTAGTATAATTCCCTTAAAAAGTCAGGATATGGCCACTTATGGCCTGCACAAGAGAGGGGTGGGTGTGTTGTCTGTGTGGCAGGGAAGTGGTGGTGATGAGTACCTTGTACATATAAACACCTACGCCAATGTCTTTGGAAGGAATGGCTTCACCTG